AAAACAGCGCGCGACGATTGTCAAGATTGCAGCTGTCCTGGTAATCCGAAATAAAAAAATAACAAGGATTATTAATTAAGAATAATGCCGCTATCGTTTGAACTAAAAGAATTGAAAAAAGTTACTTTTTCGCTAAATTACAGCTGTTTGAAAAAAAGATGCATTATTTTTACCACTTTTTGTATTTTTACGAATTTTTTAAAAATAGTAAAAATTGAAAATTTTGTAAGATTTTAGTTTGCACGATAGAGTAATGCATAGAGAAGACTCTCACTAAATTTCAAACAAATCGGTTAGGTAGAACTTGAGATATTTCTTGACAATGTTAAAAAAAAACAGTTTCGAGAAAAACGCGTTCAAGGTTTCGCGTAATAGGGGTAAGATGTAGGATGCTGAGTCACTAAAACAGCCATATCTTAGAAAATAATTTGAATTTTAAAAAATCCTCTTGAGGGATATATTCTTAAAAGGTTAAGCTTTGAAAATATGAAAATAAATAAAAACCCTTTTTTTCAAATTTCTAGACTAGAATTTCCTTTTAATAGTGTTTTGCTTTTAGAAGAAAATAAATCGATAAAAGAGATTTCACTTAAATGTGACATTACTCAATGTATATTCTTTTCTTTTTTATCGTAGCAATTAGGTCCAAATTTACTTACAATTAGATGTTATCACCATATGTTAAAAATTTGATCTTTTTTTCTATTGGTTTAATTGGCACAATCAACATTATCGATTAGTCTTGCGTATCAAATGCAATAGCTATTATGATAGTACAAAACTATTATACTGGAGGACTGCGATTAGGGGATTGATAGAGTTGGAATCGTAATAATGTATTCCCTGCTTAATAGAGCATTGACTACCAATTGACTGACTTACGTAAAAGTATACTACGAATAACTAATTTTAGTATTTGCATATAAAAAAATTCATAGAATATCTTTTTATATTTTTAATTTGCAGATGTTTATTAAAATTATCATGGTAAATGAACATTTTTTTAGTACTTATTTGCTATGGTTTCTTTGTGGAGCTGTTTTTTTATCTAAATTATCTAGTTTCAAAAATTCTAATTATTTTATCTTCCATACTATGTACTTCTCTTCTTACATGATTTTCCTTCGTGTCAGTTTTACATTATCAAAAATATTTAACATCGCTTTGTTACTTAGCCGTACCTAATAGACGGACAGCTGGCTACATAAAAATTGATTTATCTGGTACACGATTCATTTCTATTGAAAAATGTACCTTTAGTATAGCTGAACATAAATCTGCAAGTCTGCCATCGCAGAACTGGGGCCTAAAGCGGGTGGGTACGATAGAAAACGTGAAATTTAGGTGTGAAAAAAATCATAAGGTACACGGATTCTAATTATGGAAAAAGCTTCTATTTATATTAAGGAATCGCGAAAAAATATTGGCAGACAGTTTG